AAGTTGCGAGTGGTTCAAATGGATGGCCAATATCAATTCCTTTGATCATGAACCATTTATTGAGTATTTGAGTATCTTAATGATGTCAAAATTCATCGATCTTGGCTCATTGGATTCATCTCATTGAGTCGCTCGATTATACTATAAGCATGACACATTTGGATATCATTTGATGAACCAATTTATATTTTGAACCTTCTAAATGTGTTTCAGGTCATTGATTTGGACCCATTTAGTGGTGTCGTTAAAAGTCGAGATACCACTAGAAAGTGCTCTGATACCAATTGAATATACGAGATGCGCCAAGAGGGGGGGGGGGGGGGGGGAAAAAATGGGGGGGGGGTGAATTAGATAATTAAAAACTTCTTTAACGAAAAGAAAAATCTTTTTATAACTCGATGCGAAAGTGAATGTCATTCACAATAAAAAGATAAGTTATCAATTTCACCCATGCAGTTAATCTCAACAAAAATTAAGATGGAAATAAAGTACGAAAACAATAAAAGAAATAACACATTAAATTTATAGTGGTTCGGTCAAATCTTGACCTACGTCCACTCCCCAGAGGCATCCTCCGAGTATTGCACTAAGCCTTAAGTGACTCTCCCTTAACCACCAAAACTAAGCGGAAAAGCCTTTACAAAATCACTTCCACCTTCCCTGGTGCGGCAGAGGAGCCCGGTCCTTTGACACCAAAGAGATCTTTTTCTTTCCAAAATTTCCCTCAAGACGAACTTTGAATCTGATGGAACTGAGGTATAAGCTTGCCGGAGAAACCTTGAGAAATCTCCTCCACACTCCCTTGAAACCCCCTCCAAAGATCTTCTCCCTCTCTCAAACGCCACCCTTTACTCTCTCCCTTTCAAGTTCTCTCTTCAAGTTTTCTTCAGAAAAAATGAAGCTTTAATGATTGCTAAAGACTCTTACATTGTCTTATGATAAACTTTAAATAGAGGGCTTCAAAAAACTTTTAAAAAAATCAATTCAACCATCAAAGATCGTACAATATGATCGTAGGATCGTGCAGTACGATGTGCAGAATTTGACCTATTAGTACTGTACGATCAATGGTTAATATTGTACGAACAGTTCAATTTGTTTGTTCGTAATGTACGATATCCTGTTAGTACTATACGAACAATTCAATCAAAATGCAGTTCATCCAGGATGAAGCATGGGACGACCAAATTTGTCTCTTTTAATCGTACAGTATGATCAAGTTCTTACAGAACGTTCAAAATATTAAAATTAAACCATTTTGATTGACTAATCACAAAATTAAATTAGGCAATATTTTAAACATCATATAGTACGACCAGCTTCTTATAGTACGATTAGAACAACTTTTTAAATTCAAATTTTTACCTAATTTAATGGACGGCGGCTTTCTAATTATTACAGATTGTCCAGTACGAAGTGGTGTTCGTACTGTGCGATTAGTTATATTTCAAAAATATTTTTTTTGGAAAATAAACTATTTTAATCAATTTCTGTAACATCAGATCGTACATCCATATTGTACAGTACAATGTACAGAAAAATTAAAATATTTAAAATCAGTTTTGCTCCCCCTGTGTCTCTACACGATCACCAAGCTAACAAATATTATTAAAAGACTTGACTTAAGAAATTAAAAATTAAATAAATGAAAATTACAAACTCCTTTAACATAACCTATTATACCCAATCTTGAGCCCTCGATCTTCAAATAACAGTGCATGGTGTACCTGAAATATAGGTCAATACACAAACAAATATGCACTGTAAATAATAGGAGAAATGAAGAGTTAGTCAATAATATTTGTTATCATCAAAATCATGAACTCGGAAGCTCGAGTTGCAACAGTTTTTGGGTTTGTCTTTTTGAGATATTCAGTTCGACGATAAATTTGTTGAAATCGGTGCTCGGATGGTCCCAAATTTAATTTTGGAAGTTTCCAACTAAATGTTCAATGAACCTCATTATTTAGCTCATACCATATTAGTTATTTTCATATTTGCATGGATTACTTGATGATATTCATAAAAGAATAACTATTAGTTAACCCTTAAGAAGTTAATGCGAGACCATTTAAAATTAAACAATGTATTACAACTAATATTTTTTTATTAGAAATTCTAACATATATAAATTTATTTTAAATGCATCTAATTTGATATTGTTTGATGTATTTATTATAAATTTGTTGGATGTTGCTCTCTTTCACTTGTTCTTTGTGACTGAATGTCCAATGCTCTATTAGATACTTTTATACAATTTGTTCCTTGGCTTTTCTATCAATGAGATTGTGTCCATTTTATATGATGAATTTCAAATATACAAATATATATATATATATATATATATATATTTGTAGAACTTCGCAGAGGGGCATACACGTTAATTAAACAGGCAAATTACAGATCCTTTAAGACCCATAAACTCTCTAAAAATATAACATTTGAATTAAACCTATGAGCCAACAGTTGTACCAAATTACAAAAAACAAAGAAATAAAAAAACAAACAAAAACAAGCCAGGACAAAGGACCAGAGGAAGATCCACATCAACGGGAAGAAGCCACCAGCAAAAAAAAAAATAAAAAAAGAAACAAAACTAGAGAGGAAGCCGAAAAAACACCAACCAACCAACGAAAAAAAATAAGCACCAAAAGGGAGCCAACATAGACCATCACACAACACCAACAACCGTTCGAGAGAAACAAGACAATACGGCCCAACCTAAACCCAAAAGCAATCAAACCACAACACAAGAATAAAAACCCGAACCCCAAAAACAAGCCACAACCCAAAGGCAGAAGCAACGTACCAACCAGGAAACCAAAATCACAGAGCAAAATACACAATGAAACAAACAACCAGCTAAATGGCAAAACATACTACTTTTTTTTCCCACCTACATCATTTAGCACCCCCAATGGAAAGGGCTTCATCCTCTATACGAGCCGCATTCAAACCACAAAAATCTTGAAACTTATCATTCGACTTAGACCTTTCATCCCCATCAGGCCGGCCATCCAAAGAGGAACAATCCTCTAGCCACTCAGATTTATCCTATGTGTAGGGGGTGTCAACATAAGTTATTTGGTTAGGTTTTGGTCTGACTCTAAATTGACCCGACCTAAATCTTATCAACTTGAATCCGACCCATTTAAAAAACATGTCAAAAATATCAACTCGAAACCGACCTGCTAGGAACCTGAATGAGTTGAATCGGACCTATTAACTCGTCTTAGTTTAAAAAAATATATAACTAATTAAATATTAAGTTTAAGATATTTGATAAAAAATAAGAGATTATATCAACAAGTAAAATAATTAAAAAAATGATATTAAATATGTCATTTTCGTGTTAAAAGTAGGTTCTCGGGTCAATCTGAACCCGACCAGCTTATTAATTGGGTCGAAAAATCCAACGTGAATTCAAACTTTTCAGGTCAGGCTCTAATATGGTTGCCCATATTTATAAATTTACTATTAGTGCACAAGATTCATTGATAATTTGACCTTTTAATTAATATCATGACATTTTCTTCCATAATTTAGGTGTTTTATTTGGACTCGGATTAAAATACTTTTGATGTATTTGAATCTTTCTCATTGAGATGTTCATATCTACTATAAGTCTAAAAAATTGGAATTTGAATGGTTCTAAATTTAGTTTTGAAAATTAACTATTTATAAATTTCATCTAGATTCGTGCTCAATTTTATGACTAGTACTTAATCAAATTCAGCCAAGCTGAACTTTTTCTCTTTTGTTCTATATATTGTAATCAAGCAAATTTTAGCCAAACATTTGCACATGAAGTTACAATATTTGACATTGACATGTTTACTATAATCACAACAGATATAAGGCTTCATTTGGGGTCAATGCACGAATGTCAATAGGGGTGACAATTTTTGATCCGACCTGAAAAAATTTGGGTTCGGGTTGTCTCGTTTGTGAAACGGGTCGGGTTCTGGTTGAACAAACGGACCCGTTTTAAAAATCGGGTTGGTTCGTTGACCTGGGAACCCGAAATCAACCTGTTTGACCCGATAATTTGATAACATCTAGCGCTATCGCCTGTCACGTCGCCGTCAGGTCGTCGCATCTCATCGTCAGGCTGCTCCAATGGACAAAGGCGATGAAACCGCACATGCATGCCAGCGGCCAGCCATCTGCCCGCCTCGCGAGAGAGAGACTGTGAGACCCAAGTCGCACTGGCAAGCCGCTCCGTAGCAGCACTCGCACCAAAAGGTCGCCAGGTCGGTCCGCAACTTAGGTCGCTGCCTCGCCGACCAGGCTCCCGCCATGCCGCCTCAACCCGCCCTGGCTTGCCTCGCGTTCGCAACTTGGCATTTGTTTTTGCAGGTCGGGTCGAGTCAACCCGGTAACCCGCACGGGTCGGGTCCGGGTTGACAATCCTGACCCGTTTGAAAAAATGGGTCGGGTTAGTGTCAACCCATTTACGGTCGAGTCAAGTCGAGTTCAACTCGAACCCGACCCGTTGACCCGAATTGACACCCCTAAATATCACTTATACAAACTAATGTATCTCTACGAATTTAAAATGTAATTTGGTTCAACAAGAATTTTAAGGTGTATTTCTTGAGAAATGAAATATCGATCATATTTATTCAATTTAAAATGTAATAGAAAACTATAAGTTCTCTTGATTAAAGAAGAAAATTATTGCTTATAATTTTAGATTTAAGAGAGAGAGAGAGAGAGAAAATATGCTTTTGGGCTTGAGTTGACTTTTTGTTCATAAAAAGTCAAAAAAATCTTAGGTACCCTTTAATAGAAAAAATTATTATTTATAGTTACTGAACGGTTCAGAGGCGAATCAAAATATATCGTGTAATCTCGATACATAACAGTACACAACAAATAATTTCTCCTTTGCTTTCTGATTCGTCTCTAAACGATCTTTAGACCCCACTTAATAATTTCTCCTTTCATAGCGACCGACCTCTATTTAACATCATCCATTACTAGAACAACCCACTCACCGTTCTAAAAACCTTCCTTTGATCACTCATCCTCATCTTTCATTGTCCACCGACCTTGCAATGGCCGAGCTCCAGCCGATCCACCACACCACAGCCCTCAACCAAATCGCCATTGACTACACTCCCGATGCCTGCCTCCACTCTCCCGACTCCGGGGAGATCCACGTCACCTACGACCACCGCCGCGGCGCCCGATGGCGGTCCCCTTCCCGCTTCCTCTATGGCACTTTTTCCGCACGCATCCGTTGCCCTTCCGGCAACACCAGCGGCCTCAACTACAACATCTACCTCTCCTCCCTCGAAGGCGACAAGAACCAAGACGAGATCGACTTCGAGTTCCTCGGCAAGGACAACACCTCCGTCCAAACCAATGTTTACACTGGCGGCGTTGGCGGTCGAGAGCAGATCCATCCACTGGGTTTCCACGCGTCGGAGGATTTCCACGATTATGTGATCCGATGGACTCCAGAAGAGATCGTGTGGCTCGTTGATGGATCGATGGTGAGGCGGGAGGTGCGAAAGGAAGGAGAGCCGTGGCCAGAGAAGGCGATGTTTCTGTACGCATCTGTTTGGGATGCGAGCGATATTGATGAGGGGAAGTGGACCGGGAAGTATGAGGGAAGCGACGCCCCGTATGTCTGTGTTTATAAGGATGTGAGGGTGCCGATTGGGAGTTTCATGGTAGAGGAACAAGTTGCCGAGTAATTGTTCCTCTTTCTCCTGCTTTGGTATTTCTATTTCCTCTGTATCTGTTTCTGGTTTGTTTCAGTGTGTGGCTCTTTGGTTTCTCTGTCTTCTTTGTTCCTCGCGAACAAATTCTAAGTTATGCTGTGAGATTAGTTATGAATTCCGAAGTCCAAAGCTCCTTTGGTTGTTTGGTTCAATCTTAAAGGTAAATGTATGCTATTTTATGTCATCTTGCTGTATGTTTTGTTTGATGTTTCATAAATTTTGAATTATAAATGTTAACATGAAAGGATCATAATCATTATGATTTCTTTCTATCATCTATTTTAATTATTGGATAATTTAGCTCGAAAGGGTACCGACTTTCAGAGAGAATTCGATGCTTTTTGGTAGCTAGAAATAGGCGATTGCCAGACCTTTCTGTAGAACTCGAAAACTTCTTCGAGCTAAGTCAGACCTCTCGCTTGAGAGAGATTATTAGGTGCGGAGGAGTGCGGATGGGGAGAACTGTCCGCACAAGTATTGGGTACGTAGCGGAACCCTCACTCGGTACTGCTGGATACTTATAGGTACTCAGTACTTATGAGTAGGGGTGTCAATATTTGACACGACACGAAAACCCGACTCGAACCCGACCCGAAAAATCCGGGTTGGACCCGACCCGAATGCAAAACGGGTCGGGTTCGGGTTCCAGAAATCGACCCGTTTGAACCCGGGTCAGTTCCGGGTCCGACCCGAACCCGACCCGTGACCCGAAATTGACACCCCTACTTATGAGGACGGTGCGCACTCCACACCTAATAATTTTTCCTCGCTTGAACTCGACAACTAGAAGTAAGTTAGTCATCTAGACTTCGCATCCATGACTGTTCTTAGAAGCTCCCTCCCTGGGCCACTCCTCAAGGGAAGTCAACCCTCTGTCATTTCGACAATTTGACAAAAATTTTCTTGAAGTTGACTACCTTAGCTTTCATTTCTACTTCTCTAAGTTGAATTTTTTGACCTTTTTGATGACTTCTTTATCTTTATGGTTGCCTTAGACGAATCCTCTGCAAGCCAATCTCCTCAGCGACACAGCTCGACAACTTCCTTTTAGAACTCATCCATTGGGATGGGTTAACCCAACAAAAGTTGGCGACCCATATCTGATAAATAAGGTGATAAATTTAAGCAGCAGTAATAAAGCCGTCATAAACGAAGCCTAAGACATTACTCTCTTCATCAAACTATCGAATTGAGTCAAGTTTCTTATCCATACAAGGATACGCCTCACTCAAAGCAGCTTTCTAGTTTAAAATTTTAAATTTTTATACTAGAATGTTGTTTTAAATTTGTATACTAAAAAGCTGCTTTAAGAAGTAGTAAGAAACCTGTTCCAAACGAAGCCTTAACCTAGTGCTAATATTTTGAACTTTGAAGGTGATCATGGGGTGCTACAGTGATGGCATATGAAAGCATGGATGATACCATGCACATGATGACAGACATTAGAATAATGAGAGCAATTGTTCAATATATTGATGATGTATGCTATGGTGGTTCAGAGCAGGATAATTTTTCTATCAAGTTGGAGTGATGATTCTCTCTCATGACAACATGTCAAAAACTAATCTCCAAATAAGACATTATTAAGATATGTGAAGGTCAATATCCATGTCTTTCCATCTTGATGTTTTGAATTTTTTTAAAGTTATTTTAAATTCACAAAAACCTAGATGAGATGTGAACCACCTAAGATTTTGATTTTCTAATTTGATGGGTGGCTTTACACCTAATCATTTATGCTTTCCGCAACAAGTTACCCATAAAAAGAGCAAGTTAATGGTCATAAAATATTATTCATTCTTCTCTTTTAGGGTTCATTTGAGACGGTTTTTTTACTGTTTTTAAAAATAAGCTTTTCGGTACAAAAATTTTTTGAACTAAAAATTTTGTACTAAAAAGCTATTTCATAAAGCAGTAAGAAAGTCGTCCCAAACAAAACCTTATTCAATCAAGTAAAAAGGCAGAGAAAGTTATCCCAAACGAAGCTTTAGTGTGTAATGCTTTCCAATAAATTTTGAACGTTTATGAGAAAGGATACAATATCAATTAAAGAAAAGGAAAAAAAAAATTCATCTTGAAGGTTTAAAACAAATAATTGGTAGTCCAATAATAATATGAATTGAATTGTGCAAAAATATTTGACATGATATATCTAATATCTTGTACAATGCGCAATAAAAAATATTGTAACCAATAAAAATAATTAAAATTAAATTACTAATGATATTGATCTCGCACACATTTTTGTCTTAATCATGCAAAAGAAGTTAGTGCGTTGCTCGAAATTTGGTTTAAGGTGTGAAACCTCTTTAATAAGAATGAAGTTGAACTCTTAAACGTCAATATGCCTTTTGGTCTAATAATTATAATTACATTTAAAAGTAGTAAGTTGACCCTTGAAAACTACCAAATTGAGCACATTAATGTGGGAACTTTCTTAGGAAGAACGAGTTTCTCGAAAGTTATACGAATTGGGGAAAATTGTGAGGCTATTAGGTTAAACCAGACAATATTTTGATGCTTGAGAGATTGGATGTTACAAATGGTATTGAAACAATACACTATTAAAGATGAGAACTTTCATATAAGATGAAGTATAAAATCATGGGAGTCAGCTCTTGAACCCTTTTTGCAATAAATTGTTATATAGCGAGAGCCACCTCGCGAACTTATATGACTCGTCATTAGAATCTAATCTACGTAGTGGATAATTTTGTACTATGCGCAAAGATATTGATGAGTATGTTGATTAGCATATGAGATTATAAACCCCTTATGTTGAATTCCTAAACATTCATATGCCTTCTGCTATGACGGGTGAAATTTCATTATAAAGTTCAAAGTTGAGTGTGCTCTTAGGGGAGTCCTTCTGAGATGGGTGATCTCATAAGAAGTTATAACAATCGAGTACCGTGCTTTGATTTCAGTTGTAGGCTTTGGTGACCTGCTGGGCTTTGTAAGCTCATTATATGTAGTTTAAATTTTCAGGTCCGAGCAAGGCAACTGGAATGGAGTTCGATCAGAATGTCAGACGAATCCTTTCACTATTTGATTCTGGGGCATCACACTACAAGCCAAAATAGATACTATCTCGTTGGTTGAATGTTTGGGTTGCTACATAAGAAGCTAAAGAATGTTGAATTAATTTGAACAAAGGATTGAAAGCCATCCTTCAAGAGCCATCAAGAGAGATACTATAGTGTCGAGTCACTAAAAAACTAATCTTAGTAGAGCTTGGCTCTTAAGTATTATTCAATTATCAAACTTGATTGATTTATATTCAATAGGCGCACTTGTAAGCTCGATATGGTCCCTTTCAAACTTACTTGAATCCAACAATGGGTATCAAAATCATAACGTTCATTGTATCAAGATTGTTGGATTCAAATATATTTGTAGATGACACATTGACCTTTCTCATAAGACTAATTGGTATAAAAAAAGGATGAGAATGGAGAGATGGGTAAGTAATTAAGTAGAAGAGCTCAAGAATTTTATCACTCTTCGTGTAGAGTGATTGGTCTAAATCCAAAAAATTGCTTTCAACACCATATTTATAGGGTTGAGAAAACTATAGGAGATATTATACCTAAGGTATAATACAATAAATATGTACTCTAACTATTATATACATGTGAACAAGACTCTAATAGCTATATGTGGATAACCTCTCTGATGTGACCTTGAGACACCTCTAATGAGTGCCTCAGGTGATTGTCACGGGCAAGTTGCTTTATTGTTGGATGCGAGTCACTTGCTTACTAAGCATATGTGCTCCTGTTCGAGGCGAGTTCTCCTAAGACAATTGCCTAAATCGGGCTGATTCTCTTCCTAAGATGCCCCCATTAGATGGGGTTAATGCTCCTTGGATGTGTTTATCTTGACTTAGGCGTTTCTTTGAACTATCTAAATTGCAAGTTCTCATAGATAGGCACATATTTAGTCTTCGTTTGAGATGACTTTTTTATTGTTACTTAAAATATGATTTTAATCAAAAATCATAAAGCCGTCTCAAGCGAAATCTTTGGCATCATTTCCCTTGTACCTTACTAAGTAATTTTGTCCTCTTGGCGGTATTTTTTACCCTCTTGTGGGACAGATGGATGCACTAGAAATTTCATATTTTTCATAATATATTCAGAGCTTTCGGCCAGTTTAATCTTATAGGTTCGTGATGCTGACTTCCCCTAGTCGATCAAGCTAATTCAACTCACTCAAAATAATTTTGGATGTACAATACCAACAAATATTATTACAAATTGCAGGCATCGAATAACTTTCAAAAAAATAATAATAATAATAGAAAAAAACTAATGGACCCCTACCACACCCTTGCATTCTTCAGTGGAACGGTTTGTTTTGCGTTGGAGAAAGCGACTTAGCATTTATTTTTGTCTCGTAAGGGAAATTATTGGGTTCGGACACCGGATGCCGTCCGAAGCTAATAAAAATGTGTCACGTCACCCTCTACTCAGTATTGAGTAGTACCAAGTAATACCGAGCTCAGTACTGAGCTCGGTACTACTCAATACCGAACTCAGTATTTCACAATACCGAGCTCAGTAGTACTGCTCGGTACTATGAAGTACCAAATAGTAAGCTATATCCAGTATCCGAACCCAATAATTTCCCTGTAAGTAAAATAATTTCCCCGTTGTTAGAGGTCTATGATAGAGTAATTTACAAATCTTTCTATTCGAACATCTGTAAACAGGGCAAAAAATATGGCCAATTTGCATCAAAATAAGGAATCTTTTTTCCAGTTGAAAATATCACTTAAATAACTTGACAAAATTTTGTATGCAAATTTTTTTGGCGTGTGATGTCTCTGAAAAAATCATATGATTAGTGTGATCTCAATGTAAATTTTAAATTAGTTTTTTTAAATTAAAATAAAGATCATCTCAACTCCAAATTATGCATGCATATAATAGAATCGAGCGGCTCGACGATATGAATCTAATGAGCCCAAGATCATTAAATTCTGACATCATTAAGGCACTTAAATGCTGAAAAAAATACTTCATAATTGAGAGAATCTATATAGATCATAGGATAGAGTGTTTCAGATTGTAGTTAAAATTACAAAAATGTCATTCTCGAAAAGTCTATAAATAGAGCATCATTCTACATATAAAAATGAAAAGAATAGAGAAAACTAGAGAGCCCACATG